TGAAGAAATGGGTGAACAAAGGGTCGCCTTGGAATGTCCCTGAGGCATTCATTTGGGATGCCGTCAATTCCACAGGCCTTTCTCAATTTCAAGGAATTTATCAATTTCTGTACATCACATGGTCTGATCCTTTGAGGGGGGGGGGTTGTCAGTTATACACGTAAAGGGCTCTAGTTGGAGTCTAAGAGCAAAATGAAAATCTCAAAAAAAAAGTGACAGGGGTTTGAATTCTCTTTCCTGCATTTACAATCATGTAAATTATCAAGTCACAAATATACTGGCAAAGAATGAAAATATGTGATTTCTTCAGTATGTTTAATGAAAAAGCTCTTAAATTTTCATGTCACAGCACTTACATACTACAAATTAAATGCCACATATACCAACCTTTTGAAGTTTCACTATTCAGATCTCACCACTAGACAACAACCACTTTTCTGTGGCACCAGAGAGCATCCACAGATGTAACAGGATACAACTGTTCGGCATGTCAGATTTCTTATCCTAACAGAAAAACAAAACGAAAATTAATCATTCAGCACAACAGTACAAATATACCTGATTCATATTCACAATATATGTTACTCTTGCCAATTTTCCCAACAATTATAACATTTGCCCGTCACAAGTGTTGAAAGACCACAACAAGTTCAGCCTCATCATAACTTTCTTGAAGGCTAAGAAAATATGTGATCTGAACCTAAAAGCACCTACGGCTAAATAAAATTCATCACATTTAAGTTCTATTTACATATGTAATCTATACACATAAAATGCCTATGTACATTGCCATTCAAGATTCAGTTGTTTCAGGGTTGTCTGCAACTTTAAAAATCTCTTGCACCTGCCAGTAATTCCTCAGCCTCCAAGCTTGTAGCATGTTGCTATAATGGCTAAGCTATACAGGTGCCATACAATGTTACTTTTGACACATGCCCTACAGAGTAATATTTATGACTGCTGTATAAAAATTGTTAAAATATCTTTTCAGAAAATGACAACATTTTGCTTCAGTCTTCATGTGAAACAGTTTCCACTTAGTTATCACAATGTACAATACAAACTGCTCATACAAACCAGCAGCTTTTCAATATGTTTTGCGGCACAATCTAATTTCCTAAATTTTGTCTGGCTAACAGCTACATTAGTGGCCTCCGTAGTCTAGGGGTAACATTCCCACCTCATGGCTCAAGGTACGTGGGTTCAAACCCAGCGGAGGTCGTGGAATTTTTAAGGGCAGAAAAATTCAAGGAACAAGTCCTCCTGGAGGGACTTTAAGCCGTGAGTCCTGTGTCATAGATTTATGGCACGTAAGAGATCCTCGGGTCTCTAGGAGACCTCTGAGCAAAATTAGGCAAGTTTCCTGCCCAAGTAGTTTCCAATTCCTCCGGTAGATGGGGAAGTATCAGGGACCACTACAGGAGGACCGACCTCGCTGGCAGAATGGGGCTGATAGCGAGCACCAGTACTGGAAGGGCATGGCAACTAGTTAGAATAATTAAAGGGGGACGCACAATAGATCAATAAATGGTCACAGTGCATGAGGAAACCCACCCCCTCTGAATAATAATAATAATAATAATAATAATAATAGCTACATTATACGTGGGTATTAAAGTTACCACAATTACAAATGTGTAGCATTAAAATGTTAGTTCCATATTGTAGCATGTAGACTGTTGCTAGGTAATGGCCCATGAATAGCAACAGAGAAATGGTGTTTTTTGCACAGTCCATGCTGATGGCTGCACATGCAACAAGTGTGTGCATAGATATGGTGTTTTCTGTGAGGTCTGTACCAATATAAGCAGGACGAGCTAGTGCTTGGAGTGGACTGAGTTGGCTGGTGAGTGACTAGGACTGCTGCAGTTCAGTCCTTGTGAGCTGCTGCTGTCAGAAGCTGGTAACTGGGGCAGGGGGACAGTACAGAAACCAAGAGGAAGGGGAACGTCCACCACTGGAAGCTGTTACCAGAAAAGTGGGGAAGACAAAGCAGACCAAGAAGGCTTAAGTACATGCTGCAGTGAACTGCACAGTGTATGAATTAGCAACCGCTATAGATGCTTGCAGTTATGAGTTGTGCATATAAACGAGCATTATATCTGATTACCAATCCAAACCCTGTCTATAATCACTCAGACATACGACAATATACTTATAGGGTCACACAAACAAATATCATCTACACCAGAGAGCAGATAAATTTGTACTACCACTCCCATCATGCACCCTTTTCACCTCAGTGGTGATGTAAGAGTGTCTCACATGTCATGATTTCTGCTATCCCATAAAAGCTTCTTCGGGTCCAGAGGGGACAAATATTGAAATGTTTTAATGAACTTTAGCCAACATTGAATTGCATTTACTAAAAACAAGTTAACCAGTGGTAGAAAATGGAAAATCCGTCACATACGAAAGACCAATTCCATCCACACAATAATATCCACTTTTTAATGCATGCCCAAACCTCTAACTCAAAGCTTTATGGCTATATCAATTCACAAAGATAACAGAGTACACAGTATGTCATAAATGGAAAAATTTCCTATATACATCAATTTACAACTTTCCTTTCAGCATGTGTCAATCACTACATTCCAAAAAACACATCTGTAGCACAAAAGGATTAATTAAAAGTCCACAATCTGTAGGAAACTTATACAAAAACAATGCACACATTTTCTCATACATGCTTGACAGTCCACGGCCATATTATTTTGGTTCACTGTCCCCACAGATGATTACATTTAATCACAAGCAGACAAACCATTTTCAAGAAAACTGAAATTTCACATCCGAGCTGCTATAAGACATACCATTGCTTTCCTGAAGATACCACCTATGCAGTTTTATAACTGCTTTCAACAAAATCAGTTCTGTCTTTAGAGATGCCAATGAAGGCCCCAATTTTTAGAGCCATATTCATTAAAATGGATAAACTCCAAGTGTGAAATATGAACAAAGTCTGTACAACTGTTCAGGCATTAGCAAGGTGCACATAGTATATACAGACAGAGAAGGAGCATTCAAAATCCACTTTTCCATATTCAAGGGTGCTGAAATATGTGAATCCATCAAAATCTCATAATCTTCTTCACAGTCACAATATTTTCACGTACTACATATCTGAGAATGTAAAAAGAATTTTTAATCTGTGAACTTAATATTTCATATATATGTGAGATAAACTAGTCAGTTTTAACAAGGACTCAAATACCAAACCTGAAAAGAATCTGCATACATATGGGCATGCACAAATTCTGATAAAGCTGTGTTTACCTACTGCTGCAAAACATAACATGATTCACTCTCTAAAGAACTGACTCAGATATTACAATAGTTTCTCTCATTTCTTCCCTCTATTTTAATCTACTGACATTGACACAGTTCTGTAACTTGAACAAGGTTAGCTGCAATAAGCTTCCTGATTCCTGACTTCCGGAATAGAACCATCTTATCAACAAACACTATTCCTATTTACACAAGACATAAACACCACTGGCAATAAGCCAAAAGCTACTACCAAGTCCCAAAGCATACAGAGACAAGTTGTGATCCATATCGATTTAAAGCAAAAAGAATTCCCACACTGAAAATGCAACAAAGGTTATACTTCATGCTAGTGACACATCACTGAGGCAGTACTTGAAACTTCTAATAGTCCATAAATTCACTATTGCACTTCAGACATCACAAACATAAACTCTAGGTGCAATGAGAGCCAATGCAAACAATGATCATGAACTGTGATCCCAATCCAGTGTACTCCAGTTGTTACAAACACTGCAGCATGCAAAGAGACTTACAGACCTCCATAACTGGTAAACATCTGTCTGAAACAAGGTGCTATATCACCAGCGATTTCCAGCTTCACTTTAAAATTTTCCATCAGGTTGGCACAAGAAAATCAGGACAGATTCAAATTGAACAGGGCACATCAACTTCTAGTCTAAGAAACTGATGTTAACTACATTTAATTCTTGATGAACCCAGTGGTAATGGTGCAGAAACTTGCAGACAGAGAGGTATCCAAACCCAAGCACATTTAACGGCACTATTCTCTGATTCTAGGAGACGAGTACTGCTTGCCCATCCACTGTAGGCTGCAATAGTTGGAAGTGCATTAACAGTTGATGTGTTAGAATGTATTCTGAGACATGTGGAGGAGATTCTCCATGCCAGTATTCATCACATACGAGCAGCCAAATGCGGTTTTTCCATACCCATATTATTTGCAATGGGTACAAACTCTAAGTATGCTTGATTTTTGCAAACACCAAGAATTTAAGAAGAGGAGAGTAACTGCTACCACTCAGTGCAGGATCTTCTTTATCTTCCCATCTACAGGGATAAATATTAAAATATTTGAAAGAGAACTATAATTCACAGATGCAAAACCCAGTCTCTACGAAAGAACATATATTTAAATTGTCTGAGAACAAAAAGAAAGCATTTGATTCAGTTAGGAGGGAAGTATTGTACAATATTCTGACAGAGTTCGGGGTACCCATGAAACTAGTTAAGCTGATTAAAATGTGTTGAAACGAAACGTACAGTAAAGTCTGTATAAGTGAACATCTGTCTGATAGATTTCCTATTCAGAAAGGTCTAAAACAAGGAGATGCTTTATCGCCACTCCTTTTCAACTTTGCTTTAGTATATGCCACTAAGAAGGCCCAGGAAAACCAGGTGAGACTGAAATTAAACCAGACACATCAACTGTTGGCCTATGCCAATGATGTGGATCTACTGGGTGACAATACAGATACCATAAAATACCGAAACTTCAATTGATGCTAGTCAGGAGGTTGGTCTAGAAGTAAACACAGAGAAAACTAAGTATATGTTGCTGTCTCATCACCAAAATGCAGGGCAAAATCAGGACATAAAGATAGGAAACAGATGTTTTGAAAATGCGGCACAGTTCAGATATTTGGGAACGACGATAACAGATCAAAACCTGATTCAGGAGGAAATTAAGAGGAGATTGAACTTGGGTAATGCTTGCTACCATTCAGTCCTGAATCTTTCGTCTTTTCCTCTGCTGTCTAAAAACATAAAAATTAGAACACAGAAAACTATAATCTTGCCTGTGGTTCTGTATAGGTGTGAAACTTGGTCTCTGACATTAAGGGAGGAACAGACACTGAGGGTATTTGAGAACAGGGTGTTGAGGAGAATATTTGGACTGAAGAGAGATTAAGTGACAGGAGTTTGGAGAAAACTGCATAATGAGAAGCTTCATAACTTGTACTCTTGACCAAGTATTATTAGAATGATCAAGTCAAGGAGAATGAAATGGGCAGGGCACGTAGCATGAATGCGGGAGCCGAGGAATGCATATTGGATATTGGTGGGAAAGCCAGAACAAAAGAGACCATTGGGAAGACCAAGGCATAAGTGGGTGCACAATATGAAAATGGATCTTAGAGAGATAGGATGGGATGGTATGGATTGGATTGATCTGGCTCAGGATAGGGGCCAGTGGAGCGTTCTTGTGAACACAGTAATGAACCTTACATAAAATGCTGGGAAATTCTTGAGTAGCTGCAGAATTCATGACTCCTCAAGAAGGGCTCAGCTCCACGAGTGAGTAAGTGAGAACAGAAAGTGAGAATTTCTGGATTTAAAAGAGATAAAATAACATACAGCAGCAAATGATAGAACCACTAATGAATAATCAAGTGGAAAGAATTTAGACAGAAGTGGTCATGGCCAAATTGAGGCATCTATCTGCATAGACCGAAGAAAAACCATGAAAAACCTCAGCCAGGAGAGTTGCAGTCCCTGCCAAGAACTGAATTAAGCATTACCGAAGTACATGTCTACGAGTAAGACTGTTAATGCTCTAGCAACTTGCTCAGTAAATGAAGGAACATGAAACAGGTAAGACATGCAGTGCACACAAGAGAGACGAAAAATAAATACACAATTTCAAATTTAAAAGCTGAAGGAGAAATCACGTGGGAAGATTACTGTCATGGGTGGATGACATGACAATAAAATGAAATGAACAAATATAATGTTAAGGGATGGATTAAATGGCTAAGGATAGAGTTGACTCCCTGGTTTTTGAGAGCACAATAATTAAACTGTGGGTTCCTCAAAAGGGCACACAATTTCTAGTGAAGCTGAGTGACTATCAGTCAGTCCTATAAATTCTGCATCTGTGCTGAAAACAAATATTTTCAAAAGGTTCAAGGCTCTCACAACATTAAACACCTGCAGTATTTAAATGGGATCTGGCTGGAATGTGCTTCCATGTCTGGCTACCAACAGTGTAAACACAATCTGAGGCATCTCTGTACTTACATGCAGCTCTGGACATAAACATGAAGCACCAGATTGGTATGCCTGATTATAATCACTGTTAAATATATCAGCAAGCCATTACTGCCAACATAAATATGGAATTGACTTTAAGATAATTTAAAAATAACTATATAAATATAACAATAACATTGGTGCTTTTAATTAATCTACAAAATCAATGACCCAAGTCTATGAAGTGATTTCAGTGACAATGCGGGATTCCATTTTCAACAAGAACTTACATAACATAACATAACATAACATAACATAACATGCTACAAGTCGGAAGGTCACAGGTTCAAATACCGATGATGTCACTGGTTTTTTTCAATTGACCTAATCCTTCCAGCCGCACTGTGGCCCTGGGGTTCACTCAGGCTCTAACAGAAATGAGTACCAGGAATTAAATAAATAATTTTCCTGGGTGTGGCCGGCTGACAACCTTGCTGCCATCTTCTGAGCCTATTGTCTAGATAATGTGGGACCCTCGACATCTCACAACCCCATGGGCCTTCATGTCCTGTACCAGGAAATAAATAAATAATTTTTCTGGGTGCGGCTGGCACGTAAGGCTAACAATCTTACCGCCATCTTTGAGCCGATTGTCTAGATAATGTGGGACCCTCAATGTCTCACAACTCTATGGGCCTTCATGTCCTGTTACAGGGATATTATATTAAAATTAAACAAAGAGCACAATCACTTTGCCCTACATTAGCAGAACTGAGCTACAAGATAAACTCCATCTATTCTAGAAACCAGGGTGCATTATACAAGATGTAAGCAGACTCAGTTAATAAAATCTGTGCATAAAGTTTTAATTTCCCACTAGCATATGAATACTGGAAGTATGTTGAAAATATAATCTAGTAACTTCCTCCTAATGACAACATAACAGTCTACAACACTAATTAATGATATTCCATCATTCTCACAGCAGATAGGGTAAAAAAGAGTTGTGAGTGGACAGAGTGAAAGCCATGGACCCAGACATGTGTAGAGCAGTAATGGGTACTATACATAACTCCTAAAAGGGAAAGTTGTCCCTGTGTTTAACTAATTAAGCACTATGCCTTAAAGGTGTATGGGGAAGTGGATGTATAAATCGACATTTTCTTGACTTCTGCACTAGTTGGAGGTGAGTGGTCAGCTTCAAGCCCCGGCCGTTTTACCCCCACAGAAAGAGCCCCAGTACCCATTGTAGACAAGGCTGGGTGGGCACCAGAGCTGGTCTGGACAACATGGAAAAGAGAAAATTCTTGACCCTACCTGGACTCGAACTCCAACCCCTCAGTCATTCAGCCAGCGGCCAGTTGCTATACAAATTGTGCTATCCCAGCTCCTATACAAAACTCCTACAGCACATAAATGGGCTCCCCAATCTGTCACCTGCAGCACCCATTTTAACATTTAAAAATATCAACATACCTCAAAGCAAAACTAAAAGCAACAGACATATGAAGGACAGTGAGCAGGATGATAAATGTAAAACATATGAGAAAACAAAGATATTTTTGCAGGTCTTTGGGGTAACTTACAAGAAGGTCTAAATACTGGGAGTAATGCAAGAGAAATGTATTCTCATAGCAGCCTAAATATTCTGTACCTGATGGATTTGAGGTACTCACTATGAAGCATACAGTTTTCTGGGTTGCAGTGCCATGTAAATCAAATAAAGCCCGATGTTTTGGAGGAAAATATGTCCTCCATTGTCTGGGCCAAAGGTAAAAAAATAACTAAATGCAATGCTATTAACATTTAGCAGCTGCAGCAGCAGCGCTGGTAGTAGTAGTAGCAGCTGTGGTGGTGGTTATAGTATTAGTAGTAGCAGCAGCAGTGGTGGTAATAATAGAACAGTAGTAATAGTAGCAGCAGCAATAATACAAGAGTAATCATAGCAAGAGTAGTAGTAAGAAGTGGTAATAATGAAAGGTGTATATAGTAATAACAAAGCATGGCAGTGGTGGTGATGTCATTACATATGTGCAGTCCATCCACAAAGTTTACAAACACTGCCCACACATGATGGATTTGAGGGTTTCACAGCAATGACTATGAGGGGTACTATCCTTCAGAATGTGATACCATATATTTTAGTGGAAGTTCACCTACATTCTTCCAGCATGCTGGTGAAATTCTACCACAGTACACAGCATCACATCATTATATATAATCTTTAATATGTCACTATTACACAAAATTCAAGGTATAGTAATTTATAATCAGTAAATGTAATAACATGTTGCAAGTCAGGTACTTGTATTCCACTATGTGGGGCACAAATGTTTTAATCTAACTACAAGCATGACTCTTGATATGGTCACAGTATTTCTGACACAATACATATATAAAACAGGTAGGAACTGAAGAAACGAAATGGTTGGGATAGGCACATGAATTTAAGAAACGACTCAGTGCTTAATCTTGGAAAGAGAGTGTAATGCATTACATAAGGTGTCATTTATGGCTGATGAACACACAAAACAATGTCCTTGACATCCGACCTATCAATGAAAGGACACGTACTTTACAAGAAAATTTTTAAAATATGGCTTGTAATATTACATGCTCCAACCTTATATAATGAAATGAGCTTTATCAAAAACCAGAAAGGATATATGATTCTGTGACATCCAGTTATATTAAAATATTGATACGTGAGTTCAATGACAAAATTTTAAAAATACAAAGAATCTTATGCATTCAACTTCTGTAATGATCACGATGTTTTAACGCCCCGAAATATAGTGTGAAAAATGTATGCACACAAAGCGCTTAGTATAAACTTCTCTAACTCGATGATATACAATGGAAGTATATACACCACACGTGCACCCTTTTAATTTTTTTTTTTTCTTGTATGTACCAAGTTAATACCAGCTAATCCAATTTCAAGACTGTTAAGTTACACGATCAAACCGTGTATGAACCGAATGGTGCTACCAAAAACTGACGTTCACGATGGCCCAAGGTCCACATACGAAGTCGTCTCCACATGCCACCCATCTTACTACGCTACATAAGATTATGACTTACTTATATTATGCGTTTTTACTCAGCAACAATGCCCTATAATTTCACATCTTTGATCATTTTATTGGGATGAAACGTCACACTTCCGAAACTAAAATGTCCTTCACGTGATTGCATTGAATCATGGGTTGCTATCATCCTCTGAGAAGTACCATCACGGATTACCTATGGATTTATTGCGGTCCGACCAATTTTCACTCTGACCCGTCAGTTTACCGTTGATGCTACCCAGCGAGGATTACCAAGTGAGTGAGTTCAGATGGTTCAGATCGTTTAGATTGACGTAGCTTATGTAACAGCGCTAAATACTTACCTGCCTCGAACACGGTTGCGGTGACGAAATGTGTCGATGATGGACTTTGGCAAACATTTATGTTATTGAAATGGCAGGGAATTTACTTATCTTTACGATAACGTTACAAAAGCTAGCATGAATATAGCCATAACATACGAGCAGATCATTGAAATTGCACGCAAGTGAAAAATCGCGCAATTTCCTGACCGCTCCTGTTCCTCCTGACCTGCCAGGTTTTCATTCCCGTTATAGGCAAAATAGAACAGGTAGTGCTAAATGGGAGTGAGTATGTTTCCTGTGAAGAAGAATATGACAAGCAAAATTCTACAGTCTCGAGTACGTATGTGACTTTTTATATCCTTATATACAGCAATTATGAACGAATAAGTTAAAGTGTGACCTTCACTTGTGAACGAAATAGATTAGTACAGAGACATGAATAGAATTTTCTTTGGCAGCTGGACTGTGTGCTTATACTGAGTTGGCATTCATTGTACCGTAAATTGTTTTTTAAATATTTACATCGCTGTGACTTGCTTATAATATGTACTTCGCTAAATTTTGATTATGTGATGTTGAAACAGGCGAGGCCAAAGAAAAACAGAGACATGAAGAAGAAGAAAAGATGTTAAATAACCAGCAACTATTTAAAAATGTCACAGCCGCACATTTTGTTTTGATAAGAGTCACGAAGTAATTATCCGTTGCCTATTCAAATGCAACTATTTCTGAACGTGAAAAACGTGTCATAAAATGACCACGTTAATGTGCAAGAGGCATTTATGAAAATGCTTATCGTATATTTTTAGACGAAGGGAGTCGTAACAAGAATTTAATCTCTAAAAAGGCGTACCGAAAATTGTTCCAAGATATAATATGTATTTCCGATAATGTAAATACACACCAAGATGGGCGTCATTGTTACTTGTTTTGAATACAAATTGATGCTCTTAAAATGGTTGCCGGCAGGGCGGAACAAGCCACAGAGGCCCCCCCAATTTTTGGAAGAAATTGTACCAAATATTATAATAAAATTTAAACGCATTTAAAAAATGTATTATATGCCGAATAGGCGAGAGCTGTCAGTAAAAATAGCCATAAATGGCATAAACCTAAATTTGTAAGAGAATTTTATGACTGAGCCCTTTGGAAAAATGGTTAACCCATTTCCCCCAGAAAAAATCCATGTGACACCCATGGCTGTAAATGTATTATAAAATCTAGATTCGATTTAAGTGATAACTATTCGAAAAAATGATTGACTTGCTATTTGATGATTAGCAATCTTCATATTCAGAAGACCTTGTTTCAGATCTCTGTGCTTTATTTTTTTTTTTTCCAAGTCCCTCCAGGCAAACACCAAAATGGTATCTTAAAGCAGCCTGTGACTGCTTCCATCTGCATCCTTTTTCTGCTTCTACAATCACAAATCATCAAACCACAAAATTGTAAGCGTACAAGTATTGCTGGATAATTTATAAGCAGAACTTCTAGTGTAATGTTTTTTATTTGTTTGTAGGTTGAACTACATGTACACTTAGATGGCTCACTGCGCCATGAAACAATATGGGAACTCGCTAAGTAAGAAATATTAATTTATGTCATCAGTAATGGCAATAATAATGTTAAAACTGTGACGCTGGTGAGAAATTAAAAATAACTCTTCTGATTGTTACTATTTTCAGACTTCAGGTGTTTCTGATTTTTGATATTCAGTGAATTAAAAATTAATATTGTCACGTGATGGGTATATGTCACGCGACAAGTAACTTCACGCCTTATTTGATATAGCGAATTTATTGTACACTCGCTCTTACACTCACACAATTCACAATTACAATTACCGCCATTGGCAGTATCACAATTACATCCGCTGCTCTCGGCGACTGCTATATTGCAACTAACTGGTTATTCTCTCTCTAGGAACTGGTTCACGAAACACACACTACTGACTGAATAGCGTTCGCTGCTCCTTATTTAGCCTCGGCACGGACAACACAGAAAACAGTTACGTGATATGTAGCGCTGTTGCCTGACGTCGTGTTTACCGATTGCCTAGCAACACTCGTTGCACGGGATTCCCTGTTGCATGACGCCGTGTTTACCGGTGTTGCTAGCAACACTGTCGAGAGTTGTCTCCTGCTGCGTAACAACTGCGGTATCCCTTGGTAACAACACAGCCGCTCCTCTGCTACGTCACAGCGGGGGAGGGGGGCGCCCACCGAGCGTTGCGTACTGGTGGAAGGAGTGGGGGTATGTGACGTCACTCAGGGAAACGCAGTGTTCACGTGACCCCCACTTCCCGTTGCGCCATCCACGTCACACTGCTCCCTTCTAAAGGTTATTCGTCCCAAACAGCCTAACGGTACATCCCCGTTCCTTTTTCTTCCCGTTGCTGTGCTCCCCAACCGCTACATCCGCTCCTTCTCTACGACCAGCTCGTCTCGAGCGGTTTCCTGCTAACGTGCCAGAAGATCCAGTTGTATCACATTCATCCTTCACTTACTCTCTTGCTCATTCACTCTCTCTGGGGAGGCCGGTGCTTCTAATTTACGGGCTTCTCCTCTGTGCTCTGCTTCTTTTTCGTTCTGGAGGGGGTCGACCCCTCCACAAGGTCCAATCCTTGTTTTGTCGTAATCCGACAGAAGATCCGGCTATTTGCTTCGCGATCTTCCTCTGAAAATCACATTGACGGTCTTCTTGCTCGTTTCTCCACTTCCCAGGTGTGATCGCTGTTCTGATCCATACCTTCGATGCAGTTCACGGTTTCCCTCTTCTTTTTCACGTACAGCGGCCGCTTGCCGCCTCGGTCCTTTGTTCCTCTTTTTCCTTCATGGTGCGTCCGTAAATTCTTCCTGAGCGGACCTACTTTCTTGGTTGCTCACTCAGTCACGGCCATGGTGCAGTTTCTCCCAATGATGTTTTCCTTCTGCCGTGCCACTTTTGCACAGTGGCTTGTCCCTCTGCGGGCTACGGCCAGTCTCTTCTCGGATCCAAACTTTTCCCGTTTCTTATCCTTCGGTTCCTGGCGGCGGTGCTCCGCGGGCCAGTTTTCGGTCCCTACGCCGTTTCTTCTTCAGTTCTCCGACCGGCATCACTGTGGCGTCTTCTATGGGCACCTCTTCTTTTTGTGCTGTCGCCTCAGGTTTCCTGTCCACTGAGGTGTTGCTAGCAACACTGTTGGGAGTTGTTTACGGCTGGGTAGTTGGATGGATGGTTATTTTTATAATCACATATTCTAATCCTATTGCTAGCATTTTCTTTAGTACTGAACATGTAATCCTCCAAGGCACACCAGTGACATTATGTCCAAATGGATGTCACAAACCATTGTAGGTAATATGCAAAAATATTAAATTACAGATGGTCAGAATTATTAAGAATATTTAATTCACTGATTAAAAAATCACACTGTAGTGTAATATCAGAATCTGACAGTTTTAAAATACAAGCAGAATAAATTGGACTGGCAGGGTAAATGATCTCAAAAGTTAAACTAAGGCTCAACTATCACTGCAATGGCAATGAAAACTGATATCTTCTAGGGTGTGACATCATGTGGTCTGGTGGATTATTACCAACATTTAGGGGAGACAAACTCTTCTACATTGAAATTGGAAGCAACACATTCCTACAAAACATCAGTAACAAACCTAGCAGATTATATGACATATCCCAGAACACAGTTATCTTCATTTCCTATTAATTGTTATGAATTAACTGTTCTTCATTCATTATAACACTGTTACAAATTTAAGTATTTAAAAATGAGAGCTATCAGCTGGATATGAATTACTGATACTGTACTTGTGACCATACCTGATCCCACTGAATAATTATGAAACTCATGAGAAATACAGTTCAGTCATGTTAAACGTTTGACAGGTTTCTTGGAGAGGGATGAACATTACAACTGACAAAGGCTTTTTTGGTGAAATGCATAACCTTGTACCTATAATATGAGCAAAAAACTTACTTTGTGCCTTTAAAGCCAAAGTAAAATTATGCCTATGCCTGAGCATTGTCTCATTCTGGCATAACATACAGGGAGATTCTTGCCTTTGTTGAGTGGTTCGTGGTGCCTGGTGTACCAGTGGCTGCAAGGCGAATACAAGTTTTGCTGATGAATCCAGAATGGTCTAAAACAAGATGTATTATCGCCACTGCTTTTCAACTTTGTTTTAGAATATAGCATTAGGAAGGCCCAGGAAAACCAGGTGGGAATGAAATTAAATGGGACACACAAGCTGCTGTTCTGTGCCAATGTTGTGAATCTGCTGGGTGATAACATAGATACCATAAAGAAAAACACACAAACTTTAATTGTCACTAGTATGGAGGTTGGTCTAGAAGTAAACGCAGGTAGAACTAAGTATATGTCGCTGTCTTTTCACCAGAATGCAGGGCAAAATCATAACATAAAGGTAGCTAACAGATGTTTTGAAAATGTGGCACAGTTCAAATATTTGTGAACTACAACAATAGATCAAAATTTGATCAGGAGGGAATTAAGAGATTTCAGTTGTGTAATGCTTGCTACCATTCAGTCCAGAGTCTTTTGTTTTCTCATCTGCTGCCTAAAAACATAAAAATTAGAATATACAAAAATATGATTTTGCCTGTGGTTCTGTATTGGTGTGAAATTTGGTCTCTGACATTAAGGGAGGAACATAGACTGAGTGTGTGTGAGAACAGGGTGATGAGGAGAGCATTTGGACCAAAGAGAGATGAAGTGACAGGAGGTTGGAGAAAACTGCAAAATGAGGAGCTTCATAACCTGTACTCTTCTCCAAGTTATAATTAGAATGATCAAGTCAAGGAGGATGAGATGGGCAGGGCACGCAGCGTAAATGGGGGAGAAGAGGAATGCATATAGGATATTGATGGGAAAGCCAAGAAGGAAAGAAACCACAGGGAAGACCAAGATGTATGTGGGCCAATATTAAAATTGACCTCAGAGAGATAGGATGAGGTGGTATGTACTGGATTGATCTGACTGAGGATGGGACCAGTGGATGGCTCTTGTGAACACAGTAATAAACTTTTGGGTTTCATCAATTGCTGGGAAGTTCTTGAGTAGCTGCACAATTGGCAGCTTTTCAAGAAGAGCTCAGCTCCATAGTTAGTTATTGGCTCACAAATAGCAGTGAGGTTGTCAGCCCTAGGCTAATGTCACACGAGCGCTGTATCATGTCCGTGAATATTCACGTACGTCATGGAGGCATACAAATATATGAGAGCAGTCACATGGCACGGACGCGAAGAATGACGTCCGTGATTCTTAGAGTCCATGCTGTGTGACTGCTCTCATATATTTGTATGCCTCCATGACATACGCAAATATTCACAGACGTAATACAGTGCTTGTGTGACATTAGCCTTGTGCACTTTCTACTCTTTACACCCAGGAAGACTCCTGGTACTCATTTCTGTTAGAGGCTGAGTTGACACCAGGAGCATAGTGTGGCTGAAAGGATTATGTCAATTGAAAAATCCAGTGACCTCATGAGGAATCAAACATGCGACCTTCTGGCTTGTAGCATAGTGTCTCAACCAACTACACTATTATGTGCTCCATTCAGCTGCTTCATACCCAGGAGCATACCTCAAAATGACCATATGGGATCCATAGCTGTTCAGATTATAGCAGTGAAGAGGAAAATCCTAAAACCACCTCAAGATATGGATTCCAACTGTCTAGTCTAGGGCCAGTTACTTTCGTGGTTGAATGTCTGAACTGTCCCAGGTCATGACTGCAGTTAAATTATTTCACAGGATGCAGGTTTGCAAGTAGTAACAAGGTTAATAGCTGACAGAAATTTCCTGATGTTTATGTTTCTTGTTCTTTCAAAAAGAACTGTAATTTCAACACAATTCTGGCACAGGGTGAAGGGGCTACATCTACCAGGAAATGGCACATTTCAAGACCTTCAGAAGGCAATGATTGTCAGGCAACCCAAAGATCTACATCAATTTCTTCAACCATTCCTCATTTCAACGCCTTGCATAGCGTATGTAACTAAACCTTATTTTATTTACAAGGTTAAGACTAGGTTTTAGGGCCATCCCCTTGTATCATTATGTTAGATTTTCATAGTCTGAAATCTGTATTCCAAAAACCACAGAGGTAATATTATGTCTAGAATTACAAAGCTGGAGTCATGGTGTAAACATTAGATGTTTCACCGTGGATGCAATTAGCAAGCTATAACTTCAACTGTCTGCTACCTGACTGTAAAAATTACAAAAATTTGTCTTTAATGAAGTATGAAACTTCAGCTATGGTCTGTATTCATATGAAAATTCTTTTATCATGTAAGAAACAACAAGATATTAACCCACTAGTTCATGAAAATATCTACAGTGAACTTTGATTATCTGTGGTAATGAAAATCGTGTGATTATTAAGCCTACTGATCATTAAACAGTGGAACACATATCTTTCCGATAAAAAAAAAGAAAGTCATGTGCAATGGTAGCAGGCCAGTGAGAAAAGCAATAAAGTCATAACACAGAAAGTTGCATCAGGGTGAGAAGATGCATAGTCCACCAAAAATCATTGTAATATATCACTGGTGTAACTGAAACAGATACAATAGAAAACATTCAAATCAATACGGAAAAAGAAAATACAAATTGGTTCTAAAATTTCCACTGCTAATCCAAAAAGCTAATAATCTTCATTGAAGATAATTGACAGTGTACTGTATAAGTATTATTCCCCCCCCCCCCAGAAGATTTCACATAAAAATACATCAACATAATATCCTTACCTTTTTGGCAGAATTTTCATTACTACTGAATGACAAAATCTATATTTCACATCAGAATGCAAATTCTGAAAATACATACAAGGAATCAGCCACATATGGAAGGTATCCACATATATATATGTGGAGTACTTAGTCATAAATAGACAGATACAGATGGGAAGTAACATTACAATCATTTCAATAATATGAGAAGACAGATTCATAAGCTGATGATATAAATTGTCCAAAAATACATGTGATCTTTCATTATGATATGACACACATATTTTATTTAGAATATGTCAAATTATGTAGGGCAGCGATTTTCTGCACAGTCACTGGTATTTTAAAGAATGTGGGGTTGTGAATATATTCATTCGTTGTAAAATATGACGTATTTTTCCAACCCTGTAAGGGATCTGCTACCATTTTACTTATTACTGAATTAATTTTCTTGTTGGTTGGCAACATATCATGTATGATAGAAATATGGTTTCTGATTGAGATACAAATTCCTTGACTTTGCTAGGCAGTTAGAGGCATCTGTTGCACAGCTTTCCTTCTAATAATCCATGCTGTAGATAATATAAATAATTTTGTGCTGCTTCTAGTGGAGATCTCTCTGCAATTGAACGCATAGCATACGAGTTCTGTGAGGACAAGGCAAGAAATGGAGTCATGTACGTGGAAGCACGTTATAGCCCGCACTTCCTTCTGGCTGAAGGTGGTCCCTCTGATATTGAAGGTGTGTCTTTGTTTGTTTGTTTAATTTGCCTCCTCCTCCTCAAGTTCCGAGTATGCTGGTGTTGGTAAAATTAAATGTTCCATAATAAAGGATATTCTCACACTCTTATCCTTGTGGAAACAGACTGTTATCATCCCAGTATTTGAAAATGGTAATGCTACTCTGATTTTACTGATTTGCACAGATGGGACCTCCAATTACATCCATGTGGTAGTGTGTTCCCATCTTATCGGAAAGAAGCAGTCCACTAGTTGTCATCCCACTATGCTAGCTGGCATTAATAATAATATGAATGGGGAAATGAACCACTTTGTATTTTAGGCAAGCCTTTGTCATGAATTTTTTGTTACACAAATTTATCTGGAACATTGATGTGAATTACTTGCTTAGACTGCAAAGCAATTGGTTTCTGCTCTGTAACAAAAATCACATCAAATATCTGCTATTCTGTATATACTAGGAATATTTCTATTTTGATTATTTTGAATGACCAGTTATTGTTAGAACTGCAACTACAGGGAAATTGATACGAAAGTCACACATCTTACAAAGGCTAACATGATTTTTTCTGTTGAAAGTGAAATTTGGAATATATAAGATAATTTATTTGCAATGAAATGTAGATTCTGTATGAACTACTGAATTCTGTACATAATTTGAAACTTCAAGAAGATAAAGTGTAGTAAAACAGTGTGAAGTGTGAGTCCATGATTTATTTCCAGACAACAGTTTATTAGCAATAGCAGTACAAATGCAGCATCCACCAAAAAGAATGCCAGGATTTCAGGCACATGTAACTTATGAATGAAAACATATATGAGGGTTCTGTTTGCAGTGTTTTATTCATCAATTCAAACTGTCTTTACCCATGAGTGGAAAAGTTCTTAGCTGTGAAACACTTCACAGTGAGTGCCATCTGTATAGCTCTGTACATCCTACCTGAAGTTCTCCTCTTGTTCTAAACATTCTCTCAGATGCCCACTGCCCTGAATGATACTGTTATGCTGACTGACATGTCCAGATGTGAGAAATTTTAACTCACCAGTGAAGGCAGTATGACTTAAGAAATTATCATGTTCCAAAACTTGTGCACACATGTGCTGCAGACTGAGATCTAAGCTGTTTGTCAAGTGGTGTAAGTTTCTGGGCGACCTGTAATTTGTATGGTTTTAGACAAAGGCTCTTCTGAAGAATTCTGTGAACAATCATTTGCACATCTGTAACAATGCACTTGCTTGGGCAATGACTTCCTGAGGCTCTGTACAGAAGCCTGCCCAACATGACCCCACGTCTTCATCAGATCTTGAAGGCAGACCAGTAGAATGTGCTTTTTCCATAATGCCAGTCTCTCTAAATTGCTTACATCACCTCATAATGCTCTTGTCATCTGGTGGCCTCAGCACCCCACCCATGCCTAAATTCACATTGAATCTAAATAATGAATTCAAATTATGCTTTTCGCAACATGATCTGTGCTTTCTGCTGTGTGGTAGACACTGTACCAATCACACAGAACATAATCAAAGCTGCTGTCCATTACCTACAGTTTGGATGCTTGCACAACTTGTGTCAGTGGAACTGTTTGAATTCATGATTGCATTGTAAGTATCAGCATTGTCATGTCTGTTTTCATTCCTGAGCTGCGGGTGTTGAAGTCCCAGCATTACTTCTGGTAGACCTGAATTATAGTCCATATTTGTAGGGACCAGTGGCGAGCTCTTGTGAACATGGTAATGAACCTACCAGTTCCATAAAATGTTGGAAAATTCTTGAGTAGCTGAATGACCATTGGCTTCTCAAGAGCAACTGAGCTCAGTGTAGTTACTTAGTTGGGATTAGGACCATCTCTGTGGTCTAGTGGTCACAGTTCTTGCCTACAGATCCAGAGGTCCCGGGTTTGATTCACAAGCTACCAGATTTTCTGAGACATACTGGGTCTGGAACGGGGTCCACTCAGCCTCGTGAGGATAATTGAGGAGCTATTTCAAGGAAATAGCGGTTCCGGCCTAGGAAACCGAAATTAATGGCTGTGGGGATTCGTTGCACTGACCACACGACACCCTCTATCTGCTTAAATTGGCACTAACTTCGCCGACAAGTGGCAGTCACTCAATCAGTATAGTTCGTTTGCGGAATAAAGCCACAGAGTTTGTTTTGTTTTTCATTCGGATTAGAAATGAATGCATACCAACAGTTATATACCAGTTTTTACCTTAATCTTGACTGTGGCCTAGTGGTAACTGATTTTTCTGTGAATGAACAAAATATTCATCTTGGGGCTTTCAAAGTCAAGAGCTACAATAGTGTTTAACCGTCACACAGAACCCTGATTGCATGACCTCTTTCTTTAAATACAAGCAATATAAAGAGACCATAGTGTACAGTTACCTCAATATTTGTTTTCAGCTTTAAGTGAAGTTGTTAAAGCAGTAAATCGCGGCTTTGCTCGAGGTAAAGCAGCATTCCACATCAAGATTCAAAGTATCTTGTGCACACTTGTTGGAACAAACAAGGCCCTGGAAGTGTTGCAACTTTGTGAAAACTTTAGAAATGATGGAGTGGTTGCCATTGACATGGCAGCCCCTCATACCACTGACACCACCAAACATAGTAAGTGTGAATAGTTTAAGTGGAAAAGAGAATAGCATATATTAATCATAAGAAGGAACTGAAAGGACAGTGATGGAATATGAATACAACATATTACTCTTTATTTTATCATGTGATCTGTCCAAGTCCGAGGCTTCTTGAACATTTTCATAACAAGCTTACTTTTTATGATGAGGAGTTGTGAGCCTCATGCCAAACCCACAAGCTGGAGGACCATCCCTTGCCGGCTGTCCGTGACTGCTTATTTAATATATTCACAGCTACCGTCCATACCTGGAATACATCAAGTTGTAAGTCTTAGGTATAATATTGTAGAGTTTTTTTTAATTTAAAATCTTGATTTTATTTATTTTTTCTTTATGTCACATCCATCATATTCTTTTGGGTGTTGCTTTGCATGGCTGCAAGGTCACAGGTGACATGCAGTGTGTGGCAATGACAGAGAATACTCTTTATGGTATGCAACTGGCTATGGGCTGGATGACTGAGAGGTCAGATTTCAAGTCCTGGTGGGGTCAAGTATTTTCACTTCTCCATGTCATCCAGACTGGCTCTGGGGTTCACCCAACCTCCTATACAATGGGTACTGGGGGCTCTTTCCCAGGGGTACAGCAGCAGGGGCGTGAAGCTGATTACTCACCTGCAGTTAGTGCTGAGGTCAAGAAAATGTGGATCTATACATCCACACCCCATGTGTCTTGAAGGCGTAGTGCTTAATTAGTTAAGCACAGGGACAACTTTACCTTTCTTTTAGTTATTAATGTAGTTTTTCCTTGAAAATTAAAATTTAAGAAATTTTAATAACTATGTAATCCGAATGGTTAACAATCGCATTAAGAAGACTTACACTCACTGCTCTGGCTAAATGTTTCAATGCCACCCTTAAACACTAGTAATATCTCAAAATGTCTTACACATGGCAAAAAATTTCTGTTACCTAAAAATGATAGCACTGCAAACCCAGCCAAATATGAACCAACAGCATATGCATATCTGTGACAGCTACAGAGGTCTCTAGTTACCTGAATGACAATAAAAAGAAGACCTGGGAAGAGAATGGGCTGAATAAAAATTCTTAGGGATATAAGGATCTAGATACTGTTGTTGGAGTTGAGGCTTCTATGATGGTGTTGTGGGTTGTAATGTTATGTATTTCGGAAACAACTTAATGTTTCAGAGGAACATGTTGCCTCCATCTTCACAGTCAAAGAGCAAGCCAAGCAATAAACTAACAGAAACAGGTGGCAAGATGGGTGAACCAATCACAGAAATTGTGGAGTGGTACAAGCCAGTCAAAGCCTTGAAGAAATTCTAAGAGAGTCAATGGAATAGTGACCTCATAGGTAATGGTCACTTTTCCACTGACTTTTGACACTTCCTCTGAGGCTTCGACTGGTTTATATCAGGCCAGATTTTCCACATGTTTCACTCAGCTTTCCACCTGCTTCTACTGGTTTATTACATGGCCTACTCTTCAGCACTGAAGACTGAGGTGCTGTTTCTCCAAAACATTAGGCTCTCTCTGACCCACATGATGTTACAAGCCACAAGGTCATGTTCTTCAAGTTATTATTGACTCAGTAGTTGTTTATCAGGCCAGTAACCATTTGTCCACCACAAGCTGATTAGATTAGCATGACATACTTAGATAAAAATTTCCAAAGATGAAGAGATCAGCTCAACTTAGTATCAAATGTTATACGCTGATGTTTAGTGGAATGAATGAATGAATATATAGGGGGGTGGGACCTTCTCGGCTCTTGCACCACGACCTACAGTGATCTATTGTGTTTCCCTTCTTGATTATCCCCTCAGCAATCCTACACTTCATGTGAAGTGCAGGATTTTGTACATGGCGGCATCAAAATAGTCACTTGGTTCCATAAAATACTGACCCAAGTGACGTAATCTTAAATAAGCTAAGTCCTCACATTCACACAGGATATGTGTCACTGTTTCGTTTTCTTCTTGAAACCTCTGACAAGTGGGACTGTTACTTGGTCCCAGTTTGAAGAGGTGTCCTTTAAGGTGACAATGTCCTGTAAGTAGTCCCACCACCCATCATAGATGGTTCCTGTTTACCTTCAACAGTTCCTTCACTCTTTTAGCAGAGGGTCCTCGTATGAGTCCCTTTGCTTGCCTGAGTCCAATCAAGGATTCCCAGTATTTCTTGTGCTTCATATTTGTCCAGTCCCTGATTGCCTGTCTGGCAACTCCTATAGAGATGCCACAGGCTGGTTCAGGTCCTATGAATGGATGTTCAGATCCAATCTTGCCCAGTTGGTCTGCTGTTTCGTTTCCAGCAATACCCTCATGCCCTGGCACCCATATCAGTTGGACCCTGTTATATTTGGCCAGTTCCATGAGAGTTTGGTGGCAATCCCAGACCAATTTTGAGTTGATCTGGTGTTTGTCAAGTGCTTTAAGTGCAGCGTGGCTGTCAGATAGAATGTAGATGTTCCTATCTAAATTCTCCATAATACATGCTTTAATGGCATATACTTCTGCCTGGAATACTGTCGTGGACTGCCCAAGGCTGAAACTAAGTTTCCTCCTCGTGCCATAGCAGAACACACCAGCTCCAGTGCCCTTATTTATCTTTCAACCATCTGTATACCAGATCAGTCCCCCTTTTCTACCGGGCCAAAACCTGTCTTCCCATTCACTCCTGTCAGGAAATCTGACTGTGAAGGGTTCATCATATACATGTCTCAGTATCATTTTGTCAGACCCCATTTGTAATATGGGCTCTTTTTTCATGTCCTGAGTTAGGTATGCATGTCCGAAACTATTGGATCTAGGTTTCCATTGATCACTGCATTGGAGACAGTAGATTCCTGCCCTGGCCTCTGCCTCCAACTGTAGTTGCAGTGGGGGGAGTCCAAGGAGTTTCTCCAGTGCAGCTGTTGGAGATGTTCGATTTGCTCCTGTGATACCCAAGCAAGCCAACCTTTGCAATTTGCTAAGTTCTGCCTCGCTTGTCTTGAGTTTAACTCTGATGTTTAGTGGAAAGAACAGTGTTTCATGCCATCCACATATGTTGTCATTTTAAGGTAACTGGCAGAAGTATGGGAGGTTCTTTTTCTGCAAAAGCATTCATCCCCAAGTACCCTTGGCATTTTGAGCAGGTAGTTTTATGGTGTGGCTTGGCAGTTACAGGGTTAAAAAACAAGGGACTCTGAATATAGCCTATTTAGATTACATGACAGCTTCTGGTTCTGTACCTTGTGACTAACATAGAAATCACTGCTACTGCAAGATTCACCCTCTTGTAAATTTTTTCAGGCATACTCTTTCATGGTAGTCAGCTGTTACCCACTTATCTGCTGGAAGGAAATGATTTAATCTAGTGTCCATAAGACAAGAAATGGTATCTTTCAAGGTGATGCAATGAATGCTATCTTGTTTTGAACTAACTCTAACTCACCTTAGCCATACAGTGAATAATAACAATTATGGATGATCTCAAGTTATATGTCAATCTAGAGGCACAAAGTCACAATCTTAAAGGTGTAGTGACTTAAGTTCAACAAATTTATTCAGATTTATTTTATGATAGATAAGTTTAAGCCAATAAAATATGAGAGAGGGAAATTAATGAAGACTAAAAGATTTACAATGGAATATGATAGGATGATTAAAGACTTATCAGAGAGGAGAACTCTTTAATTTCAATAAGATTAAAAAGATGCTAAAAGCTTATTTCCAAAGCAAAATTGATGGTATGGAATGATTCACATTAAAGGAACCCAAGATTATTAATAATAATAATAAATCACACAGTAACTTACAAATTAAAACAAAGCTTGGTGAGTACATGCCTTGGTAGATGTGGTGATAAGTGGGTTGCAGAAAATGCTGTAATTGTTTCTCTTTGCCTAGAGGCACAGGTTGATTTTTCATTCCATGTCTGTGAATGGTGCAGCCAACATGGGAGAAGGAATTGTAGTAGCTGTAGACATGACACGCCAGACAGACAGACAGATGCTGGATCAGTGTTGCTCAGCACACCATCTTGAACTGTTTATTCATAAATATGTACTGACAATTAAATGAGAAACCATACACACTAAAGTGTAGTATTAAAATTATTTTAACTTTAATTATTGATTAATTTTAAATTAATTCTCAACTAACTTCAATTTAATTTAATTTTATACCAATACAGTTCCATGCTCAAGAGTAAACAAACCAGAGGTTCACTACTAAGAAATAATCAAGAGGTTACACCATAGCTCAAGCGGTTAGTCCCTGGCTTCCCACTGCAGCGGCCCGGGTCCGATCCTGGGTCTGGTCAAGTGGGATTTGTGGTGGAGAAAGTGGCGCTGGGGCAGGTTTTCTCCGAGTACTTCGGTTTCCCCTGCCAATCTTTATTCCACCAATTGCTCCACCATCACCCTCACCTATCATCTGGGGCTGGTACAATAGGCCAGAAGTGGCCACAGTACAAGGGACTTAGTCCCGCCCCACTAGCAATAAAGAAAAAAGCAATAATCAATCATATAGTCAAATATGAAAGAAAATATGGATCCATACTGAACAAAAAATTAAGCTTCTAAGTACACAGATGCAACTGATAACACAGTAGGGTCGAAACATGTCGTGATTAACACAAATGTAAATAACCTTTATTACTACCTTTACCTGAATTGCTGTATTGATGAATAGAAATATACTCTCTTGAATGACACACAACAGGATGCAACTCATAAAGACTGTACATAGTATTGTCAAGTTTCATTTTCATCACTAAATTATTGTGTGATATATAATCATTAATCCAAGGCTTCCTCTGTGGACACCAACCGCCATTAAGGACTTAAATGCTACAAATACAATTAAAGCACTTAACAGATATGCTGTTTCTACTTGAGCATATTCATTTGGGATAGTAAAATGGTCAAATACAGAATTAATAAACTTGTTAGAATAGTACATGTTAGCACAACTGGACACTATATGCACCAGTCTGGAGCAGCCAGAGAATGTATTACTCTGCCACCAGAACATTGCAGAATGGGCATCATGGATGTCTTACAGCTCAGCACTTACCAACTTGTCATATATAATTCAGCATAAACATAGTATATTTATAGTTTTTATCATAAACACCTGATGACCAAAAGAGACTGAAACATGTAGTGTGATTGATATTAACTGAATGACTTTTTGTTTTCATTTGATCTCAATTGTTTCATTATACAATAATCAAATTCTGTTGTGTGATGGCATAAAAACGTTAATATTGTGATGTACAGACCACTTGCTAGGCAAAGACCTCAAAACAAATGACAAAACAGCCATTGCTGTGCAACAGCATGGTAAACATGCTTCTATAACAATAGAGTTACTGTTGTAAAAGGTGTTATACAACCTGTTCCTGCAACAGTTGGACTATAACAATGGAAACGTGTGTTTTCTACATGGTCCATGCTGAGGAGTAATCTTGAAGACAACTGGGGTGACCAGTTCAGATGTCAATTGTCATCTGAGTGTTGAGTTCTGCAAGAGTAATTCCTTGAAGCCTCACTGACAGCCTGGAGAACTTAAAATTGAAATACCTGTCATCATCAATAGAGAACTCAGTGATTTTGGATACATATCATATAGCAAGATGTTTCATGAATGCCTCATCATAATTATGTTTACAGTTATAGATAAGAGTACTTGATGAAATCCATACTAAGTGTTAACTGCATTTTTCATGATGACTCCTGACAACAAAGAGACTACTGATGTCAGATCCACCTATCGATAGAATTGATACTACCCGCAATCAGTAGATACAACACTCTATTGATGAACTGTGGTACCAAAATATCATGCAGCATCATTATAGTTTTATTCTACACATAGGTATCTGTTTACATTGACAGGTGAAGTGCCAGATGCAGGAATAGAGGTTGAAGCATTCAAAAAGGCAGCTACATTGGGAATCCACCGTACTGTACATGCTGGAGAATCAGGTTCAGCTGAGATGGTGAAGCGTGTGAGTGGTTCTGATTTGCTGTTTCCAACCGTGATAGTCATGTACATTTCATTCATTCCTCAAGCGTGCCGTTCACTTTTCCATTTCAACATAATCTACCATTAATTTAGTAATTTTATAGCTTAATCAGGGTTGCATGAATGATTTATACACTCAGATATTTGGAGATGAATTACGCTATCTTTTGGCAGTATGTTTTGGTACTGTTTGTAAATGTTTAAGCCTTTAAATACATGTTTCACGTTGTGTTTACTCATGATAGGGCTGATTAAATAGGTGTAGTAATCTGTAATGTTCTTTAATGCTGTCATGAAGTTTAAAGGAATTAAGTATTAAGTGAGAGCATAAATTATGCATGAAATATGACTGTGGATCCTGCACCCTTCTCAACAAGTCAGATCAAAATCACATTTTGTCAGACGCACTGACAAGAAGATAACGTGTTCCTGTTCCCAGGGCTAGTGCTGCAGTGCAGGCAAACAAAGCATCTACCTGGGGTTGGTATGATTTTAGAGGCTCCATATTTTAAAAACCTGGTTTCATTTTCATTATTTTTTTTTCAGATGAAAACTGTTTTAGGCACAATACTACCTGTGGCTGTGTATACAACCACTGCAGTTGCTAGTACTTTAATTAAGAATCAGTCACAATCTCATGTTCTCTTTCACACTCTCACCTCGTCTGGTTTATTAAGTCTGTATCTTCTGACACATATTCTGTGTGGGCGCACACGTACGTATGTGTGTATACATGCGCGCACGCATGTGTGTGTGTGTGGAAGGGACATGTGCATTCATTTACCTCAACATAAGATGACCTCCTCTCAAATTTGTCAAAAAAATATATATATATATTTGTATCAGTGTTAGAATTATCCAAGTTTGAATTTCACAAGGGACATGCATTCTGGAATCAAATAAACATAACTGTACTAAAAAAACTGTATAAATACTATTACACTGACATATGTATATGTAGCACGCTCTATGAATACAGAAGAACAAAAAGACAGTAATCATACTGAATAAACTGAAGTAAAACAAACAGACAAAGAGATACAAATTCATATTGCACAGATCAGTCCATATTCAAGACCAATCACCACTTTCTTCATCACTCAAGGAGTTTATTGCAGTATCATCATCCTCCCACTGGATGTCGTTTCATCCATACTGTCTGATACACTATACTTCTTGACACTCCTTGGGCAGTTGACTCAGATAATATGCCTTCCCTCACAATCTTCATCCACTCACTAGCAATGTCTTACAAGGTTTCTTGATCTTCCATAGTCACATGGTCACCCATGACTTAAAGAGAACTTCTTACCCTGTAACCAGCTACATGTCAGGTTAGGGCCCCAAGATAAGAAACTGAGGATGCAATAATCTGTTGCCCTGTTCAGGGCTATCATGCGCCTCAGCACATGGTGACACACAAATATGCAGAAGATATGAAGATTAAAGGTAAAGCTATCCCTGTAACAGGCCACAAAGGCCCATAGGGTTGTGAGACGTCAAGGGTCCCACATTATCTAGACAATTGGCTCAAAGATGGCAGTGAGGTTGTCAGCTTTACACACCAGCTGCTCTTTACCTCCCAGGAAGATTCCTGGTACTCATTTCTGTTAGAGGCTGAGTCAACTCCAGAGCCATAGTGCAGCTGGAAGGATTAGGTCAATTTAAAAAATCCAATGGCCTCACTGGGAATCAAATCTGTGACCTTCCAGCTTGTAGCATAGTGCCTGAACCAACTATGCTACCACATGCCCCTGGTCGATTGAAGATTAGCAGGAGAAAACACAATAAACTGCGGGGAAAACTTATTCTAGTGCCACTTTGTTCACAACAAATATTACGTGAAATCATCTAACATTTAAGTCGAGGCTCTGCAGTGAGAAGCCAGCCCCCTCACTGCCTGAGACATGACATGACCCACCCATATCATGGTATTCTGCTTTTGCCCTCACTCTAGTAAATGTGGACTTAATACATACATACATGAAAGTTCTGACCACTTGAACATCAGCAGTCCCAGCTGTTTCCAGCATTGCACACTGCAAGTCTTGGTTTCACATATTAGAATTATGTGCAAACAACTTCCTTGACCTTGAAATTAAAGAGAAAGAATGCTAGGAAACAGAAGCATTACTCGTCTTAATATATAATCCAAAGCATACTATAGGTGACATAACATTGATTTCAGCACAGCATTTTCTAAGCTAGTGAATGTAATGCCACTCTGTCTTCAGATGCCAAAGTATGAAGAAAACTTAATTTTATATTTGGATAAATGCAGTAAGTTTTCTCTTTAACTTTTGACGTATTTTGTTCAAGTTTCGTCATTCTTTGTCTCATGTTGATTAATGTGAAATCTTTCTTTAACAGGCAATAGAAATATATAAAGCAGAGAGAATAGGACATGGTTACCATGTTCTGGAAGATGATGAAGTGTATCAAACAATTCTTCAGGATCATATTCATCTTGAGAACTGCCCATGGTCCAGTTATCTCACTGGCAGTGTTCCACTTTCCACTCCTAAACACCCAGTTGTCCAGTAAGTATATGTGGAAAATGGTGTTTACTGTGTATAATCTTTTCCTTAGGCAATACAGGATTTATTTTGTGTAAATGGTGGAGTTGGGACAACTCAGTCAGTATAGCAATGGGCTAGGATGGCCAGGGTTTCATTCCTGGTAGGGGTAAGATTTATCTCTTCTCCACAGCATCAAGCCCAGCTCTGCAACCCACCCTGCCTCTTATCCAATGGGTACCGTGGGTTCTTTCACCAGAGGTAATTCACCCAGGGTGCGAAGCTGACAGCTCATCTCCATCTAGTGCCATATGTCTTCATGGCCTGGTGCTTAATTAATCAATTAAGCACAGGGACAACTTTGCTTTTTTTAAACCAAAAGAAAATGATTTTTATTGTTTGTTTCTTCACAGTACACTTGATTTTTATTTATAATGAAAACACTGGGAGCCTTCTTGATTTGTATTGCATTCCAATACAAATACTTAGGCCCATCTGTGTGATTCTAGAGGAGGAATGATTGTTACATATGGCTTCCTGATACTGCAGGCATATTAATGCTTTGTTCTGTGCTGGAGCACTTCTAAACTTAAATAAGTGCACTGGAGTGAAGCATTATGCCACCTCACCAGGACTGTCCTCAGGAGACACAACACACATACAGGAATCAGAAGACTCAAATTCTCTTCCTCTCTTAGAGGAAAATATTTTTCACTTGCACTAAAATACACCACATAGAACTCTCATCCAATCAAGTGTCAAGTGAGAGGCGTATCTCTGACTGATGACCGAAGATGTGGTATTGCTCCGTTTGGCTGAGCCTGATATAGTAGAAATCCTGAAGGCTGTGGCGATAAATGGGTACAGAAAGGGCTGGAGCAACAGCACAGGCAAACAAAGCAGTGACTCGAAGTGGCGCATTTTACAAACCATTTGTTTTTCCTTTTCATATAATGAAAACTAATTTCTGCTGTGTTTTGTTCATACCATTAATTGGTGATGATCAAAACATGTTAATGCAACAATTTAAATGATTATGATATGAGGGATGGTTTAAATCACAGTGCTTGGAAACTTCTTGTTATTAAATGTGATGAAGTTCTAAGAAAGCTGATCCCTTTTGTAATTTGGGGGGGGGGGGGATTTAGGATTGTGCTGGCCCTGAGCTGGAGCAGCTGTAGAATATGACAAGCAGTGAAAACCAAAAGTACCCACTGACACAAATTCAACACATTGAACCAAGGCCATGTGGCGAGACACCAGTGCCTGACTACCAGAATTATGGCATCTGTTTTTCTGACAGGTCACATCTCCCAGAACAGAGCTCATTGTGCAGTTTTTCTGCCTTTGACATTTCACGAAGCAATACGCTGTCTGTGTGGCTTTATTTCATGTCCATATAAATATCAATATTTATCTAATAATTTTGTATCTGATAACAGGTTTGCAGAAGATGGAGCCAACTTTTCTATCAGTACAGATGATCCAATGGTCACTGGTAAGGAGCTTCAGGGTGACTATGACCTTGCAAACAACTGCTGGGGGCTAACTGAAGCCCACTTTCTCAGAGCTGTAAGTAATATTTTAAATTCAGTCTTTCCTTTTAGACTCCTGTGGACAGAGATCAATGTTTTATTCCCTCTGTTGTGAAGGATCCAGTATTTTGAACTTTTGGCTGGAAGTAGTAATTTTCATTTTAGTACGCTTCATGCTCATGTGTAAATCTTTCAATATTCAAAACTTGATTCATATCAGTGTTTATATCATCATCGTAGAACCTTTTATCACAATGTCAAAGTCATATACTCATCATCTTTATTAATTATCACCTGTTTTTCTCTTCCGTAACAGTTACTGGAACACTGTAAGTTCAAAAATAAAGGTCATCAACAGCAGTGATAGTTTCCAAAATAACTTATTACAAAAAGATTTCTGACAGTGATAATATAAATAACACATATAGCCAGATCCCTTGGTATGGCTTACTGCAGAAGAAGAAGCTGAAAATATCAGTTTTACTCGACTTGGTTATATAACTGTATTAAACATTAGAGATAAATTGTTGCAAAGCATCACTGCTTTTCCTGCAGTGAATCATGAGCATTCCAAGCCATACTTCAATAAATTATTAGAAATTCAGCAGAATGTTTACCTGTGAAACTATCAAGTTCATTTGCAGGGTTCTGATTAAATTGGAGAGTAATACTGATTATACTCACAGCTCAACCAGCCAAAGAATTCTCACGGGCAATAGGGATAAGAATTGGTAGGAGGGACAGGCCTGTTACTTCACTGTACCATCCTATCTAGCCTGCTGGCACCCATTACCTAATGCTAGCATACAATGAGTAATCAAGCCAATAGGAGTGGAAGAGTGGGAGTAGAGTAAGGTAGGGTAGGGTAGGTAGAGTGAACAGTTGCCTGAAGATGGCCAAGTAAGGTTGAAACATGTAGCAATTTATGTGAGTTTAATGCTATTTTAAATTAAAGACAGATTGTGAAGAGTTTTAAGTTGCATTAAGGATTGAGGTAAATGAATGAGTGCTACATCAATGTAAAAAGATGCTCAAATATAATAAAAGTACCACCTGTAGCCATGCTTTTTGTTTTCTTTGCTTTAGAGATATTTGTAACCTGGGGAATAATTTATGGAAACCTTGTACCCTACCACAAAAACAAATACTGGAGTACTGGATGTTGAATCCACCATGAAAATTGAGTTTTAATTGTGTAGTCTTGTGTTTGCAAACAGAATATGAATGCTGCCCGATCCTGTTTTCTACCAAAAGCAGAGAAACAAGAGCTAATTGGTGAACTCATGAAAGTGTATGGATTGGATGAAGAGGGCACTTCCCATTGAATGAAGCCTGATGAACTGCAGATGGAAGGATGCTGAACACTAGTAATGTGTTCTTAAAGGGATGTATGATGTTGTGTATTTTTAGTACTATAGATGAGTTTTGTTTTTCCTGTCAAACACAATATACCAAACAACATGCTCACATTTCACCGTGCATAACCGAGTTTATTGGTTTGTTAATGTATCACCTGATGATGGATACATATATGAGGCATAATTCAGTAGTAAAGGTTTGTTAATGTCTCACCTGATGATGGATCCACATATGAGGAATAATTCAATAGTAAACAGTTTGTTAATGTATCACCTGATGATGGTTCCATAAGCCGAAACATGTCGCAACACTATATGGCCAATAAACTCATATATGCTAGTAATATTAATCAACCAATAGCATTAGGTGCTACTATAAATGAATTGGGTTAGTTTTGAAAAGGAGAATATCCAATGGCTATAATACAGACATGTTACCAAGTATTTTCTAAATGAGTTGGATCCATTCTTGTTGATATTTTGGGTGGCAACACAACATTTGCACAAAGTCCTCCCCTCCCAAATGGTATCATCTTCAAAGTCATAAGATGAAACCAGAGAGCGGGGGAAGCAGGGAACATAAAGCATGTTCTAAAAGTTATTATGTGTTGCCCTCTACAACATGAGTGAAAGCTGCCTTTCTTCATGCAGGTTCTTCTTAAAATAACCTGTACTAAAAGTACAATTTTATTATGAATACACAATCCAATTGACAAAAAGTCACCAAAGATGCCCAGGAACTTAACCAAAATCATGAAATCGCTTTTTTTATTATGGGAGTCTTCTTAATATATAATCATATCAATCAGCATATATATTCCCCCCATCATGCAGTCTTGTTAAATCTTATGAACATATATTCCCCTTCACCAAAAAAAAAGAGTTGCTTACTGAGACAAGTTTTATGTTAAGCAATGTTTCCACCACCTAACTCTCGTGTGTGCTTGCATGTTTGGGGAGGAGGCAATCTTGACACTTGTAGACACTAATTTATGGCTGATTTTTAGATTTGAAACAGAAACGATTTTTAAAGATTTTTTAAGGTCACATAATTGTCAAACTTTTTAAAAAGATGGTGGAACAGAAACTGCAAATTTTTATTTTTCTTTATCTTTCTACCCTGTAGTTGGCATAACAGAAAATAAGACAACATCGACATTAACTATGAATAGGGCAGCTGCAATATTTTCTGAAACAGAAAACCATCAACATTCTATGCGGTGTATCCCCAAAATCCAGTCATACATAAGGTGAAAATAGCTGACCATAGGTACTGCCAGCATACTAATGCCACTTTTACAAAGTAATAGAAACTGAATGGGTGACAATATTTTTCAAGCTCTGATTATTAATATGAAACTGTGAAATTTATAGAACTTAAGAAACTGTACTTACAATTTAGGGCATGACATAGAAGTTACGACATGTGATTGCAGATGTGTAAAATGTTACTCAGATTTATATATTTTTATACTTGTCTTGAATATACATTTTTATACATAAAAGCTAATAATAATGTTGTACAGGACTTAAAAAATCGAACATACTACAGACAGAAACGTCATAGGAACCTGACTACCTACAAGCTCTTTCTTCATGAACAATTGCCTGTTAATTCCCATATTCACTGCCAATATTACAACTGACTCTCAGGAGACATCTGTTCTATTCTTTACTGTCACTGACACCATGCGGTGATCATTTTATGCATTACAATGCATATGATTTCCTAGCAATTAAATGGCTGTGGATGTGATTGTTTATGTATTAATAATGAACTGTGTACGCTTGTACAGCAATCAGACCAAAGGAGATAAGAGTGAGGAAAGATACTTTGTGATGGAAGCAATACTGTGATACAAGGCCCACATTTCTTTTAGTCAGGGTACTGCAGTATATTTTTTTAACCAACAGCTACAAATTTTCATACTATTATATAGAAAATTTAGATGTGTAAATGAATTCAAGGCAGTCTAGTAAATGTAAAATGATTGGATACCTTATTTTATTATATTATACATATATTGTTTTAATTATGTTTCTTATTAAATGTACATGATAATAGATGTTTTTAATTATGTCCCTTACAGTAAAGCTCAAGTTATGAGAATGTAGTACCAAAGGATTCATGTTCATTAGATGCATTCTGACTTGCTGTAACAGTATGTTTCTGAAATACACTGTGTATGTGAAATATACAAGACAAATACCTAATCAAAATATGCAGAATGTTTTCCACTAGCCAGAACTAATGATGTAACAATATACCTAATCTGACCTGCCATCAGCTTGATTTTCTTCTGTATACTGCACTGATTTATAACAAACTTTCACTTGTTAGAGTGCATATTTTTTAGTTGCGCACATCTATTGTACCTTCTACATGAAATAAAAATGTTGATTTCTCATTAAGGTGTCTGTGGTTTGCCATCTAGTATTTCCTTTTATATTCACTTTAAGTCAATTACTGACATAACTCTGCTGAGTCGACCTCAGGGCCATAGTGCGGCTGGAAGGATCCGGCTACCATATCTGTCACACATCATGACAAGACATTATATTTCAATTTCAGAACTCTGTAGCTAGACTGTGCATGTAGGTATCTCCTGCAGTTCCTTGGACATATGAAGATCATTTGCTAAATATTTCCTTACTGAGAGATTTTGCAAACTGTCAGTGTACCACTAAATATGGTGGGGCTGGAAGGTAAACAGGCATTTACTAGCAGTGGAACTGTTAAGAAAACTAAGCTTCAAATGTTATTAATATGTTTCCCTGTCTCCTGAGGTTCATCTTATGATACTCATGCTTTTCTATATTAATCACTTAATCCGCTTTCACAGATTTCACTTTTTTTTAAGAAAACATACTCCACTTGCTAGTGAAGTTTTAATATGCAAATGACTCAAATTACTGAGTTTAAGGGGAAAGCACGTTGTGTATTTACTAATAATAACTTTTTCTTGGGGGGGGGGGG